GTGGCCCTGCTAGAGGCGGAATTGAGTCAGAGCGCCGTAGCAATAAGAATGAGTATTAATCACTCGACGGTATCGCGTGTTTTTAGTCGGTACCATGAAACAGATTCTTATCGTCGGAGGCCTGGTCAAGGTCGACCTAGGGTAACTACGAATCGGGAGGATCGCAACATTGTCAATGAAGCTCTGCGCGTCCCAACAAGGGTTGCGCGACAAATCGGGAATGAAGCTTTACCAGGCAGACGAATTAATACTCAAACGATAAGAAGACGCCTTCACGAAAGAGGTTTAAGATCACGAATTCGTTCTAGAGTACCCATGTTGACAACAGTGCATCGGCGAACTCGTAACGTCTATGTTACGCCCGTAATCATCGAAACTGGACGGCCAGACAGTGGAAAAATGTGTTGTTTACAGACGAATCTCGATTTTGTCTGTTTGGGAATGATGCTAGGATCCGAATTTGGCGACGTAGATGAGAGCGTTTTGCAGCGAATCATATTGATCCAACTCGAGCGTTCGGTGGAGGATCCGTTATGGTATGGGGTGGAATATCAATGAACCATCGAACAGATCTAGTGACTCTCCAACCCCCAGGATTTACAGCGGTACGTTACATAAACGAAGTTTTGCGTCCTTGCGTGATTCCAATGCGTCGACGAATAGACCGTGATTTCATCTTGATGCAGGATAATGCACTTCCCCGTGTTACGAGGGTAACTCGTGAGTACTTGTCAGTAAACAATATATAGTTACTGCCTCATCCATTTAACAGCCCAGACCTCAATCCTATTGAGCATGTATGGGACATGATGGGTAGGAGATAACGTAACTTGGAGAGGCCTCCTGCTAATCTGCAAGTGCTTGAGAGAGTTCTACATGAAATCTGGCACGAGATACCTCAAGATTCAATCAGAGCATGCATTAATATGCAAGAACGTTTAGGAGAGGTTATTCGACGTCGAGGTGGCAATACACGGTATTGAATGCCTCTAACACTTGACCGCTCTGGCATTAGGCAAATAGGGTTTGGAGTCAGAAAATACTGTGGAAGTGACGAGCCACGGGGTCCCTAATTTGACAAATGGTTTACATAATCGGCCCTTTTCAGAGCCAAAATGATGCATACAGTCCGATCAGCAACCTCCTCGCGGTACGTATCGGGTAATGTTGGCGGTATTCGTTAAAAATGCCCGAATAACTTCAAAATGGCATTACTCGGTCAAAAAAAATCGTAGAGACCCGAATTTTTTAAAAATTGTTTTTTGAAGAGTGCACTATACAATGGTCTATGTGATATTTTCGAAAAAAAAACCGGGGCGATCCAGGTAGCGCGTTAAACAATTAAATTTTTTAAGAAAAAAAATGCTTGAGCTTTTTCAAAACATGGAGATGCGGCATCGACTTGCACCTAATTTCGCATCAAGTTTTTCTTAAAGTACAGATAATTACCTACAAAATGAAAAAAAAATCGTTTTGATACGATGAAAATTGACCGAGTTATGCGCATTTGAAAAATAGCAAAATTTCGATGAAAAATTTTGTTGCGATAATTTTGTTGCGTAGTGTATATATATTATATATATATGTATATATATATATAATTGAGGATTGCCTTTTCTTAAATGTTAAATTATTATACACATTTATGAATCAAATGTTTAGAGTTTAAATATTATGATAATTTATTATTATTTACAATAATATTGTAACAAATAAAAACTGCAAAAATTAAATATTTATATAATAGAAGAATTATGTGTACATCTATGATCATTCTTAATTCTTGATATACGTTAATAATGTAAAATAAATATACTGTAAACCATATGTATTTCCGCCATAAATATTACCGTATGTATGTGATATCCACTCATTTCTCCATCGAGACCTTCAAGAGATACTTCTACATTAGTGATATCATATTCAGTCTGTTGCCATAACTCCAATTTTCCTCTTAGGGATATTTGTTCGCCATTACCAAACCAATTTCGGACAACCGCTTTACGCCGGTAAACGCCACCAATACTAAAAATATGATTACACTGTTACTAGAAAGAATGTAGTTTTATCTAATTTAATTTACTGTGCGTTTGTTACATTGTACAGGCTAATCGATCTCCTCTCGCAACTGGACCATGATCATCATATATAACTAAACTTTTGCCAAATAGTGAGTGGGATCCAGATAAAGATAACATCGTATCAGTAAAAAGTCTTCGAGTCAATTTTGAGGCGTTGGCTTTTCTGCCGGCAATTTCAAGTGTCCCATGTCTTGTTAAATCACCTAGGCGACACAACGAGGCTTCTGCAACGAAACACAAATTCGGCTTCCAATCCACCTAAAATGTTATAGTCCTAAATATAAATAAAAGCATTACGAAAATAAATGGGTATATTACTATATGTAATAAAAATGCTTTCAAAATGATGTAAAGCAGATAATTAAGATTAATATTTTAAAAAGAAAGATTTTATACAACGAGATTTTTTTTTAAAATATATTGATATTGCAATTAAAATTTTGAAATATTCTAATAATTTTTTAAATATATCATATTCTTTTAATAAGTACAATAACTTTATTTAAATGATAATATTTATTTATAACTACATACATATTATTTATATAGAATTTAAAATAAAAGTAGAAATAGAATTGCACATATTTGTAGTATTAAAAGACCAAAACGTATTTGTACAGAAAATATTAAACAATTTTAGGTTTAATTATTTGATTTTGATTATAAGCTTTTTCGATATTTCGTTCTATAAATAATGTATACCATCTTATATATAATAATTTAATGATTGTGTTTTATTAATACTATTATTCGTCTGCTGTTATAAAGAAATTCTTCTCAAATATAAATAAATATGATTATGAATAGAATATTAATATAGAAAGATCATGAAAAAAAAAATCATTTTTAATAAAAAATTACATTAAAATCCTTAAATGTTATAAATACTTGAAAATTTTTCTAAATGTGTGCCATTTTTAAGTAATTGTTAAATAAAATTATAGGAGATACGAAAATATAGTACACTTTTAAATTATTTTTATTGTTCCTTTTATTCTTATGTAAAATTTTATGGTAGGAAATTATCTTTATTTGATAATATAAACATCAAATAAAGTACATTTGATAGTAACGTTTGATAGTGAAAAAATGAAAATTTTTTGAGACTATATAAGGATTACCCCTTTCATGTTCTTTAATTGTAATTTAAAGAGTTACATACACCTGGAGACACTAAAAATAGGTTCATATTCATGAATTTTTTGTTCCGAAAGTATTAGAAAAATCAAAGTAAGGTTTGTACCAAAATTTTATATAAGGTTTTGTCAATAAAATGTAAAATTTAAATTAAAAAATATTAAAAAGCAAGCAAGATATTGCCGTTGGCATCATACATGTTAGCTGCTGTAACTGTTTACGGTACCCACTGTATAATATATCCCAGATAGCACATTATATTCTGAGAATATACTGAGAATATACTAAAAAAGGTCACGTCTGATATTCGTACGATATTTCTATGTCCGCAGCAACATTGTTCGCAGTACATCCTCAGAATATCGAGATGAATTTCGAAAATTTTCCTTAAGAGTGTGTGAGAAATATCTATTAAAAATAATATTCTGTTAGCGAAGAACATTTTTTTTTAAATAGATATTTCTTACACACTCTTAAGGAAAATTTTCGAAATTCATCTCGATATTCTGAGGATATACTGCGAACAATGTTGCTGCGGACATAGGAATATCATACGAACATCAGACGTGACCTTTTTAGTATATTCTCAGAATATAATGTGCTATCTGGGATATGATTCATCCAAAACACAGAAACGTAATAGATTCTTAAAATATATTATATATGGGACGTTTCGCTTCAATCGGATCACTTGCGTGTCCAAAAATCAGTGCAATGAAAATAAAAGTTCAAGATCTCAAATTATTTGTATGTGCATGTACTTTCGAAAGAAATGCACTGTTTTGGGTGATTCAATATGCCGGATCCAATATGGCGCCGAGAAACTATGACCATCGTATGCAAATGTAACATTTTCTTGCTTAAACTATTGTATTGATCTCTAATTGGCCGGAAAATGATTACTTCTAGGTTCTTCGGAGTTGCTGATTACGAATATGCTGTTAAAATTTCGAAATTTAAAATAGTAGATTCAATATGGCGATCAGCGTATGAAACCTTAAGCCCTATACTTTTAGACCTTCAACCTCTTTTAATTCCCAAGCTTTTTAATCCCGAGCATGAAGGGGTAAAGTATTTTAGGTTAGTCTTAGAATAAAAAATATTTCATAACTAGTTTTCGCAGAGGTGGTAATTGATTTTTAAACACACGTTAAAAACCAAGCAGCACCTACCGAAAACTAGTGATGAAATATTTTTTATTATAAGACTAACTTAAAATAAATTTACTTCTTCACGCTCGGGATTAAAAAGCTTGCTTGAATTAAAAGAGGTTGAAGGTCTAAGAGTATAGAGCTCATGGTTTCGTACGCTGATCGCCATATTGGATCTACTATTTTGAATTTCGAAATTTTGACAGCATGTTCGTAATCAACAACTCCGAGAAACCTAGAAGTAATCACTTGCAAGCCAATTGGGGATCAATACAATAGTTTAAGTAAGAAAATGTTACATTTGCATGCGATTCTTGGCGCCATATAGGATCCGCTATATTGGATCTCTCAAAACAGTACATTTCCTTCGAAAGTATATGCATATACGAATAATTTGAGACCTGGAACGTTTATTTTTATTGCGCTGATTTTTGGACACCTAGGTGATCCGGTTGACGTGGAACGTCCTATATATAAATTTAGTCTTTATCGAGCCGATTTTTAATATTCGCGTTTGTTGCAAAATGGCGCTTAGTTGAATATAAGAGTGCAAATTGTCGTTTCATAAAATTGATCGATTTTCTTGCTGTAAAAACAAAACTGTAAATCCTAAAAAAATTCTACGATAAAAACTACGTATTGTCATGCTGAAATAAATAGAAAAAAACCTGAGTTCGAGCCATTCATTCGTTTTTAAAATGTTTTGGGTACCGATTTGTAAAACACGGTTTCGAGAAAAACGCGATCGAAGTTTTAAGTTTACTTTTAAGCAATATACGAGATAAATGATTTCTTTAATACGCTATAACTTTTTTATTTTTGCGTATTTTAAATTGTAACTTTAGAAAAATAATTTTAAGATTTTATATTATAAAAAAAGATTTTATATTATAAAAACGCAAAAATTGAAAAATCGATTTTTTTATCCATCACAGGTATGTATAACCCTTTAATTGAGTATTATAACTTTTCGGAACTATAAAAAAGATAAATTCAGTTATTTCAATTAAAATAGATAATAAATAAAAGGCTACGGGATGTCAAGCGGGATGTTTATTGCTAAATGGTAAATAATACAATCCGTACATAAATAAAAATATAAACGTTTCGACTCCTATCGGGTCATTCTCTCAATGTAAATATAATTACTTTTAAAATAAACTAGTACATGATAGTTTACAAAAATTCAACGATTAAATTGTAAAATCAAACGTGCAATAAAAATGTAAAATTGTTTTTACAAATTTTACTCATATAATTCTTGTGAGTAGTCAACGATCATACAGCCACAGTGTCACATCAGATTGGTAGTTCATCAATATATGAAGTAAAAAAGACTAAATTCGTAGAAAATAATAAAGAGCATCCTCACTCGATATTATTATGGATAATTAACCCTCGAACCATATACTTATTTTCAGTACTTCTGGACGACACACATGGATCATTCGTGTCCGACTCGATTTTAAGGATCTTAAAGTACTAGAAAAATTCTGTAAAAATTCACACATATTTTTTAAGGTCTCTACTAAATTATCCTACTATGCAAACATTGGAAAAAATGTTTATAAATATTATGGAAATTACTTTCTGTACCAGAAAAAGAAAATAATTCAGTTTTAATATAAAAATTGTAACTTTGTTATATATGTACCAAAAAAAATTATTCTAGAATGTTTTTGTACAGATATCATTTTGTACAGATATCATGCAAAAACAGAAATATTTAAAAAGTGATTACAGAATATTGAACTTTTTTATGGTATGCATTCGCTGTATATCGGTGATCTGTGGACTTCGCATATCGGCTTTCCGTAGTGAATACAACAGAAAAATATAGACACGATAAAATATAAGCCTACTCAATACAAAAACAGCAAAATAATTAATTCACTTATTTTTGTGAAAAAGACACCTTCCGACTATAAACACATGGTTCTTTCAGTTCCTCGTGCAACTTTGCGACCGTACTGCTCGACAACACATAGAGATTCCTTGTCGCCGTTATTTCCCTATATTCTCCCCATCACAAAGATTTTTTCC